GGGAGTCTGCTTCTCCCTCTGACCCTCCTCCCTCTCATGCTCTTTGTCTTTCGCTTGCTCTCTAATAAGTAAATAAATATAAAAAAAAATAAAATAAAATTTAAAAATAAAATCTTCTGTATTTTTTTATATCTCCCTTTATTGCCCCCCATTCTGATCTTTCATTTTAAAAGGAAACTACTTGAATATAGACTGCCTAGATTAGGGACCTGGACCCATCTCCTATTAGCTAGGAAATCTTGGACAAGTCATTTATGTTTTAGGAAAAAATGGAGATGACAGTAATATCCATTCATTCAGTTGGTGTGATAAAGAAACGAGGCACATTAACAGACGGCGGGCACGTAGTCAGTAGCTACGCACTAAATATGGAACAGAAGGTCACCCTTCAGTAACTCTCGTGTCCTGTTGTTCAGCCTTCACCTTGCCGGTTTGCGTCTCACCTTCTCCCTGGCATGTTTTTGTGCCTAGATCTGCTCTGGCTGCAGTCATCCTAGCAACAACACTGACCGGCCGGACCGTTGCCATTCCTCAGCCTCGCCAGAGATCCCTGTCTGAGAGTGACACGACCTACGTTGAAAAGGACAGTTTCATCGAACCCTATGCCACCACCTCCGAGCTGAGGCTTCAGTAAGGACCATATCGCCGGCTCTGCGGCTTCTCTGAGGGAGGAGCCCCAGCTCACGTGTGCTTCTGTGCGCGTGCGTGCGTGTGCGCTTGCGCGTGTGCGTGTGGTCAGGACTGGAGCTTAGTACTCGGGTTTCCATCACCAGGCTCAAAGGGTCACTGTCCTGGGACATTGATTGCTTTTGACTTGTATCAGAATTTTCTCTAGAGCGGCTCTTGTGAGATTTTGGCTTGTGAAAGCGCTGGTTTTCGTGGCCGCGCAGAGCCAGCGAATTCAGGGCTGCCTTCAGCCCCTCACAGGACTCCCCCGCGCCACAGGCTAGATGCGCGAGCTGTCACCCACCGCTTCTTGTGTGGCCCCTCTCTGAACATCCATACTGATTTTACCTTCATTGGCACCCATACTACAACCTTCTCTCTTCTTTAACAACATTTCCTCTGTTGCTTGAGCTGGGCGAGAGCCGACGTCGGGCTGGGCGGTCAGGAAGGTTTCCTCCTCAGGAAGAGTGCATTGAGAGCAGAGCTGAGGAAGGTACAAGGAGTGCCTGGGAATGGCTCAGGGGCTTGCGGGAACTGGTCAGTGTGGGGCTCGGATGAGCTTTCAAGACCGAGAAGAGGGAGCGTGACACAAGGACACATGTGAGCAGCTGAAGGAAGATGTTTGTGGCTGGGGGCACTTGGGTGAGGTGGGCAGTCATTCAAGATGGCCTGGAGAAGTGGGCAGGGGCCAGCCTGGTGATGCCTTTGGTGTCCTGTTCTGAGGCTTGGTCCTCCCCACCCCCTCCCCCTAGGAACACCAGGAAGACACTGAGGGCTTTAAGGGCTTATGGGATGGGGTTGGGTGAATACATGACCAGATTTGCCTTTTATCTGTCATGTTTATTCAATTTTGTTTTTTTGAGGGGTTTTTTTGCATACCTTTTAATCAGTCTTTGTAGTTTCTGACATTATTGTGAAATCTAGAAAGGCCTTCCCTATTCTATGAATGCTTGCTTATTTCCTTCTAGGACATGTTAATGTTTTTGGTGTTCCCATTTTAATCTTGACTTCGTTTTGAGATGTTTGAGTATAGCCTGTTTTCCTCCTGGTAAGAATTTCACTTCAGCCAGATTAGAACTTAAAGATGAGGAAATGATTTTAAACTTCACTAGAAAGAATGAGCAGATTAAGACCATCAGAGGAAATCCGGAAAGGGAGAGTTTTGACTCAGGGGGAGAGTTGGATTAGCCACTTCATATTTAAAACGAGTAGTTGAAGTAGTGAAAACAGTAGGACTGGTTATATAGAGAAGTGGTGTGTGGATGCCTTGAGGGGATCTGGGGTTTGCATGCATGGTGACTGTTTCATAAAGGCCGCCTCACAGAGCAAAGGGGAAGGAAAGGATTCTAGTATAGTGATTAACAGTAGTAGAAAAAAAAAATCAGCTTTGAGCCTTGCCTAGTTCATATACCAAACAGATTCCTATTAAATGAAAGGATTAATCTGTACATACACATAAATAAGACCAGGAAATCCTATAGCCACTCTTATCAAACCTCTCAGAGGGAGATGCCTGCAATGCCCTTCTAAGCTAAGAATTTAGAAGGTAAAAAAAAGTTGTTTTTTTTTTTAAATCATCTGTATGTTAAAAAAACCTTACATAGCTACAATGGAATTAATAGAATAGGAAAAATACAGTAAAAACAGTTTTGAACTTTGTAGATAAAAAGGTTAATTTCAAATTTAAATAGACATACGAGAAGCAAAGTAGATCAGTGGACAATGGACATGAATAGACAGTTCACCACAGAGGAATTAGGACTTGCACACAAATATATGGAAATATATTGTTTCGGTAAGAAATGCAGATTTATACAGTAAGATTTAAGTTCTTTTGCCAAGTTTTGGAAAATTGTTACTAATGTGGTCACAGGTTGGGGAGCTGATTGGTGAAATGATTTTGTGCAGTATGCCTGTAGACCCCCAAAATAGCCACACCATTTGACTCAGCAGTTTACTGCACAGTTAACTTGGTTCCTAAGACGGATCCTAAATAATGGAAGAGATTATTTGCACGTAGATGTTCGTAACAGAGGTATTTATAACAGTGACAATTGAGGGAAAAAACCTAAGTACATAAAAATGGCTGACTAAGCTGGTGTATCTACTTGGGTCCCACCTTTTACGTTTTGACTTTAAAAACGTGTTACCAATGAGGCAAATTGTGTAGGTAGGCAGTGATAGGAACTAGAAAAACCTACGTAAGAGGCTAGAAAGAAATGCTGAGTGTACAAGGAGATGGGATCGTGGATGACTTAATCCTTTAGCTTCTGTATGTTTCGTAAGGTGGTTATAATAATTTGATGGTGGGGCCTTGGAGGTGGGGCATCTAATACACGTGAAGTATTCAGTGGCTTGCTTATTTATTTTGCTCCCGACCTTCTAATGCAGACCAAATTGGCAGCATGAGACAAGAAGATCTTCTTTGCCGTCCTTTGAAATGCTGGGCTACAGGGAGGAGGAGGACACTGACGCACAGCTGTCCTCGAGCTGCGGGGAGTCGGCGGATGCCAGCGCTTACAAAGCGGAGGGAGGTCTCAGTGACGCTGTGTATGCCGTGCCCCACAGAAATCAGGTGCCGCTCACATTCCAGAATGTCTTCTGCACCCTCTTAACTTACCGCAAATTGTGTAGAGTGCATCAGTAAGGATTTTCTTTTCTCTCTTCTGCCTTTAATGGCTCTTGTCTGGGGCCTGATTTTCTGAACAAGGACAGTCTCATTTTTTTATCTGGTCAGGCCACAAATTTCTTTATTGTTATTTATTTCTTTATTATTCAAAGACAGGGCCTTCAGAGACGAAGATAAACATCTTCACATTCTTAATGTAGATTTCCAGCCAGTGCTAAGGAAACCTGCTCTTTCCTTTGGCCCCCAAAGCTACTTTTCCTGTCACTTTTCCAGTATCAACAAGCATGTTGCAGCCTTTCTTCAAATTCATGTCCAACAAGAGGAATATCGTCATTCATCTCAGTAGTAGAGGACATTCTTTGAGTGCTTACCGTACGGGAGTCTCTGTTTCAAGCTCTTGCGTGCAGTTAGCCCCCACGGCCCCGTCACACGGGAGGGACCGTGGGACAGAGAGGTTGATGGAGCCCGTTCCTGCACCAGTGCCCGAGCTGCTCTGGTTTCAACTCTGTGCTCCCTGGGTTCGGGAAACTAGATAGTTTTGTTTCTTCAACGGCAAAAGACAGCACCGTAATTTCTTTTTCTTTTCTCTCTTTCACCGTCACTATAACGTGTTATTCATAGTGACGATATTATAGATTTGCAACATCAAATGATATTCAGAGTGATTATATTTCTATTGAGTACCCCCCACTGTATTGAAACATATGTTCAGTGGTCCTAGGGATCTTAGTTTGAGGACTCCTTCTGTGAAGTAACCGTCACTTTCTAACACATGCAGACTGTAACATGCAGAGTGAGGTTTCTCTACAGCAAGGAGGCTGGAGCAGGCAGGTGGCAGCCGAGCCCAGAGCAGGTTCTGCCGTGGGCGCAGGGGAAGTCCCTCTGCCCCTCAGTCTGCATACTTTCTGGCTAGTATTTTGCACGGAGGTTACAGACAGAGTTGTTTATCACTCAACTATTTTGGAAGTAAAGCTTGCTACCCCATTTCCCATAGAAGAAAGAGATTATAGTAACCTGAACAACCTCCTTTGTCATTCGCAGGATACATATTTTATTTTGTAGGCACGTCTGTCATGGTGGCTTCAGGACCCATGTGCAGTTGGGAAATTTTGTTTTAGTTTAAGATATGAAAGGTAGAGCAAGACAACTAGCAATATCAAGGGTTGGTGAGGTTACCGTCTAATGCCGGTGGGTGTGTGAGCTGGTACCACCACTTTGGAAAACTGTCTGACATTTCAGTTTATATTAAAGCTGAATGTCTATATTTTCTATAACCCAGCAAGAAAACAAATGGAAAAGTAGAAAGTAATATAACACATTAATATTCTCATTCTCCAGATGAGCAACTATTGACTGCTTATCTTTTCTTGTTTCAGATTTTTTTAAAAAGAAATGAAATTATAGTTAGGGTTGAAATCTTCTTTGTCTCCCTCCCTGAAAGGCCATCTGCTCTTGGATTTGGAATACATTCTAGAAGTCTGTGTTTTTATTCTTTTACCACAAATAAGTGTCAGCAATTACAAATACAGCACAATTTTTTTTTTTTTTTAAAGATTTTATTTAGAGAGCGAGCGAGAGAGAAACAGCATGAGAAGGGAGAGGGTCAGAGGGAGAAGCAGGCTCCCCACTGAGCCGGGAGCCTGATGGGGGACTCAATCCCAGGATTCTGGGATCATGACCTGAGCCGAAAGCAGTCGCTTAACCAGCTGAGCCACCCAGGTGCCCCTACAATTTTTTTTTTTTTTTTTTGTAAATAGGTCATCATAGTGAACCAGTCATTCCACCTCTTGGCTTTTTTCACTCAGCATTGCAGTTTTGAGATGAATCCATGGCACCTTTTTTCCTATGCCCCTACCAATGAACATTTGGATTATTTCCTTGCATATTTGGTCCATGCACTATGTGTGCTGGGTCACAGCAGATGTTGCCAGATTGTTCTCCAAAGCAGTTTTTGTCCTTTTGCCTTCCCACCAGCAGTGTATGCATGCCAGTCACCCCATTTCTGTTCATCCCAGCCAATAGGAATGCCGTCCCTATACAACCCAGGAGTCAGAGGTGGACTTTTACGAACTGATTGTAAATAGGAAGGACTTACCAGAGTCTGTACCTTGTCCTGGCCAGTTGCAGATGGCATGAATGAAAGGGCCCTTTAAGCTGGAAAGGGATTTTAATTTCCCACAGTCTTGCCATTAGGTTTTTGGGAGCGGGGGTGGGGAGAGGGCTCCAGGGGTGACACAAGAGGCACAAGAAGGCACATTGACATTTTCTGAGCATTTAGTATAGGCTAGGCAGCTTATATGTACCATCTCATTTACTTCACACCCTCGGGGTTAAGTGTGTGAAGAAACAGGGTAAGTGACTTGCCCAACCAGCCATCCAGGGGCAGAGGCAGGATTCAGACCAGAGCGATCAAGTTTCTTTGTTTAGAATTAAAATTTGTGTTTATTGTCCTTTTGCCTATTGAGACTATTTCTTAGACTGGCCAAATATTCTCAAATTGAAATGATTAAAGTATATACCTTTGGGGAAAATGGGTGTGTAGATCCTGTAAGAATGCTATTTAATTGCTCGATGGCACCAGCTCTGAAGGAGATACTGCCTGTGGGGTACATTTAATGTCAAAAAGTAAACTTGCCTTCTCTGTGTTTACTATAGACATTCTTTAATCTGAGGTAAATAATTTATAATTTTCTCCTTCGTGCTTCCTTTAAAGTAAACAATTTTCAAAACTAGAAAGATAAGGAAACAGAGCGACCCAAATCAGGCGATTTGGACTTAAATCTATACCTCATGCCTCTCTCTGTGTTTCAGGGTAGTTGGGCAAACATCTTCATGTGAAGTGTGCACCCGCTCAGAAATGGCCTAACATGGAAAGCAAGTCTTGTTTTCAACAGTTTTCTTATTGGTGCCACCCAAAAGTAAGGCTGGAGGGGAAGTGGGGGGCGTGAATTTGTGGTCAGTTCACGCGATGCTGGCATCCAGTGGACAGAACAGTGCCATGGGCATTCAGAGACCTGGGTTCAAGTCCCCGCTTCTCGACTTCCCAGTCGTATGGCTTGGGTAAGTCAGATAACCTCTCTGCACCCAGAAAGGACTGTGTTAGGGAGGACACTCTGGGTAGGTTGGTAATTCAACATACAGTGATGGAGCATGCAGTGAGGACCTGGCATTGTGCTGGGTGCTGGAGAAGCTGTGTAAGACAGAGTCCGCAGTCACACGATCACCAGTTAGTCAATCACAGTTACAATAAATGTTACATGCGTGAGACCATGTCGGCGGGGGCCATAACCTTTCTGAAGGGACTGCAGAGAGAGACAGCAAAGGGACGGGAAGGAGCTCTGGCCCCCTTGCTTTTCCCTTTGAGGTCACTTGATTCTTCTGCCTGACACCTTAGTAGGGTCGTTCATTATCCTGAGTTCAGTAACTTCACCAGAATTCACTGCGGTGTGTGTTACTATCTGTCCTTTTTTCCAGAAATTTAGTTTGTTATTTAATTCTGCAGACACAGGTTTTCATATCTCTTTTTTGTTTTCAGGGAACATTTCCTTCCCTATTTTGTTTTATCATCGACTAAGCTTATCTATTTGTTTTATTCTCCTTGGGGAACATGAGTTATACTTTGTCAGCTGTCCTTTGTCTTCCATGTCTGTTCTATTTGCTGTAATCACTTGTCCCTCTTTTTTCTTTGCAGTGTCACTTTCTGTGATTTGCTCTGTGTACCCTCCTCATCTCTTTGTCACTGTGTTATTGCTTCTAGTATAGCTTTTACCTTCTCTGTGTTGGTTTCATTTTTCCTTTTGGTTTTTAGTCTTACCAGTTTATTTTTAACATCTTTTGTTGCCTTGTCACTTTTCTTGGCCTTCTGTATCTCTTTGGGTTCTTGATGTCAGTCTGCGCTGTCCTTCATTTCTTGGAGAGAATAGAAGCTGGATTCCGGGCAGTAAAGGTGGGTTCTCCATTGGTGTCTCCCTTTAGCTTCTTCTTCCCTCGCTTCTGCTGTGTGGGGATGATTGTACTTTTCCTGGGCCCATCTGCACACTTGCTCTCATTGCACCCGTCAGAACATTACTGTGGACCTTTATAATTGTGAGGCTTTGTGGTTTTTCAAGCATCTGCATGCCTGAAGTCTGAGGAGGTTTGGCAGCTTTTGGCTTCTCTCTCCATACCAAATTTTGTTGATTTGGTAGCTGTTTTCTGCCCAGTGACTAAGTTTTCTTTTTTTCTCCCCGCCCCCCCATTCTGTTGATTGCTTTCAGTAGATTTTAAGGGAAGAGAGTGTAGTGTAAATGCCTTGTTACTATTTTTGAATAGAATTCATGAATAGAATGTTACCGAAGCTCTCCTGTCCTTTTTCTTGCTATTGTGTTTGTGGCTTTGCAGAGCATCTTGTCATAAAGTGCCAGACGTTCGCTCACTTGTCCATGTATTCATCCAACCACCTACCAACAAACTGATATTTGAGTGTCTGCCATGTGCTTGGATGGAGACCCATGCAGGGGTAAACCAGTCCTCTCTAGAATCTTCCGGAGGCCAAGAAATAGTGGACATTCTTTTGCTACTCTTGAGGATTAGGAATGTCCCCTTTCTGTCTCCCTAGTTTTCAATTTCTTTAAATTTTTCTTTTCATTACACAGGTAATGCAGGAATATGTGTTTCTTTTTTTTTTAATTTTTTTATTGTTATGTTAATCCCCATACATTACATCATTAGTTTTAGATGTAGTGTTCCATGATTCATTGTTTGTGCATAACAGCCAGTGCTCCATGCAGAATGTGCCCTCCTCAATACCCATCACCAGGCTAACCCATCCTCCCACCCTGAATATATGTTTCTTATAAAAGCTCTGCATAGTGCACAGAAAGCACGAGCTTGTCCTGAAACCTGCCATTCCTATTCCAGTCCTCCTCTTCTCTCCAGGAGAAGCCTCTGTGGTCACTTTGATATCTGTGTTAGGGTTTTTTTGGCTGCAGAAATGGAATAAATAAACATAAGGTTTAAATAGTAGACCTTTAACTCTCTGACCTAACAAAGTCAAAAGGCAGGAGATTCTAATATTGTTTCAGCTGCCTATCAAAGGCTGCTGCCTGAGATCCCCTTGGCCTCCTCCTCCTCATGGTCACCAGTGGGTGCAGCCGCTCCTGATCCCAAAGAAGAAAGGAAGAAGTGGTGCAAGGATCTTCTCATTATGCTGCTCTGTATTTTTTAGGGAGAACATTTTTTTCTGGAAGCCTCCCAGCAGAGTCTCATTGGTCACATGGCCACCCCTTGACTGGTCACTGGCCAAGGGGAAGAAGATTCCCATGGGTCATACCCTGGGGCTGAGTCCATGTGCATCAAACAAAATCAGGAATCTCTTAGCAAGGGAGAAAAGAGGGCACCGATTACTGAGCAGGCGATGTAGCAGTGCCTGCCGTGGCTTGTCTCCTGTGGTCTCTGCATTTGCATGTCCATGTCCAGGTGCAGATAGAAATACCCCCGTCAGTCTCTGTGCATGGAGATTATTGACTCTGCTCCACCAGTACCAGCACCTCTGCAGGAGCCTCACCCTCATCGGTAGCAGTAGAAGGCCAGCATAGCAAGGAGGGCACCACGTGGTCACTCCAGCCAATGTGCAGAAGCCACCGAGTGAGCGAGCTCTGCCATCTTCCAGTGTGGGGTCTCCTTCATGCAGCAGGCGAGGAAACACAGATCCCCAAACCCTTAGTCAAGCATGGTGTTGGACCTCCAGAGGTCCTTCTACCTTGCACGTCAGAACTGCCCCTTCCAGAGTTAGTTCTTGGGAGCACTTGACTGGCTCAGTTGGTAAAGCATTCAACCCTTGATGCAGGGTTGTGAGTTTGAGCCCCACGTTGGGCATGGAGCCTACTTAAAAACAAAAACAAAACAAAACCACCCGAAAACCAGAGTTAGTTCTTGGTTCACTGCAAATTCTTTTTTTTTTTTTTTAAAGATTTTATTTATTTATTTGACAGACAGAGACACAGAGAGAGAGGGAACACAAGCAGGGGTAGTGGGAGAGGGAGAAGCAGGCCTCCTGCAGAGCAGGGAGCCCGATGCAGGGCTCGATCCCAGGACCCTGGGATCATGACCTGAGCCGAAGGCAGAGGCTTAACAACTGAGCCACCCAGGCGCCCCGGTTCACTGCAAATTCTTAACCACACTCTTGACTTTACCCTGAGATGGAGCTAGCTGGACCCTCCTGTTGCTCCGCCTCTGATAACATATGATGTATCTGGGGTGGGGTTCTTACCTTAGCATCATTGGTGTGAGGAGAGGCATCCGGGAAGGTGGCCACGCCCCATGGGCTGGGCCCTGAGTCATTCGGGTTCATCTCTGCTGGAGGCCAAGGAATAGCGGGGACTCCACCCAGGTAGTTGGTCTCCCAGCCCCCAAACTCTTGAAGCTATAAGAATCCACACTTGCAGGGCGCCTGGGTGGCTCAGTCGTTAAGCGTCTGCCTTCAGCTCAGGTCATGATCTCAGGATCCTGGGATCGAGCCCCGCATCAGGCTCCCTGCTAGGCGGGAAGCCTGCTTCTCCTCTCCCATTCCCCTGCTTATGTTCCTGCTCTCGCTATCTCTGTCTCTGTCAAATAAATAAAATCTTAAAAAAAAAAAAAAAAAAAAGATTCCACACTTGCAGCTTCCTTGCTGTGTTGGCAGGTTTTCTCCTCCAAGTAATAGAAGGTTTCTGACATCGCTGATCACTTGTGCATGTTTTTGAACTTTATATGCGTGAAATCCCAGAACATGTGTTCCTTTGCATCCAGCCACATTGTTAGGTGTGTACAGGTTTAAAACTGTATCTTCCTGGTAAATTGGATATTTTGTCACTATAAAGTGAACCTTTTTGTCTCTAAAAATGTGTTTGGTTTTAACATCTATTTTGTATGACATTTTCCATGTTTCTTCTGTTTGATGGTTGTATGATCTGGTTTTTTTCCATCCTTTAATTTCAACCTTTCTCTGTCCTCATGTTTACCTGTGTCTTGTAAAGAGCATATCGTTTTTTAAAACAAGTTCACTGAGATATAATTTACATGCCACACTACTCCTCCATTTATCACTGTAGCATATAGTTTTTTGTTAACCAGGTTTGACAAACTTTTCCTTTGTCTTTTTACTGAACCTTTTGGTCCTTTTATATTTAAGGTGTATGTGGATATATTTGAGTTTAACGTTGTCATTTCAGTTTTTCTATCTCTCCCCTTAATTCTTTTTTTTTGGGGGGGGGCTTCCTTTGAATTGATGATTTTTTCAGTTTGATTTCTTTCCCTCTACGAGGTTGCAAATTATACCTTTCTTCCCCACCTACAATTACCCTAGGTATTATAGCATGTACATTTTCCTCTCTCAAATCTGGGGTGCTAGACCACCCAGGAAGAGCGTGAAGGAGCCGGGCACAGGTGCTGCGGGCACGTGCGGACAGGCCATTCCTAGCACCTCTAACGTCAGCGCTGCGGCTGGTTTGGCCTGCTTCTTCCTTCCATTTCTTCTTCAGGTTTTGTTTGAATTACCAAGGTAATTTTTATATTCAGAAGTATCTGGCAGTTTAAAAAATGTTTTACATTCAAACTTTTAAATTAGAGAGGTTTTTAAGATATGGTCACAAATTCTTTAGGCTTATTAATCGGTGTATTAACTATACACAGAGGTACATAGACCATAAATGTGCAGCTCAATGAAATTTTATAAACTGGCTACCACTCAGATTAAAAAGAAAAATGACATTACTGGTACCCCAGAATGTTCCCTTCGTGACGGAGAAGAGGTCACTGCTTCCCCAGAGTTCACCACCGCCCCGACTCCCAGAGCTGATCAGCTCTTGGAGAATCACCTTAGTTTTGCCTACTCTGAAAACGCTGTGATTTTAGTCAGGACAGCCTGTATTGTTTGGAGCGTTTGAGGGTCTTCAGCTGTCGTGTGCCGCGGTGCTCAGTTCACTGTCCAGGCTGACACTAGCCCGCTGTGCAGTGCTACCGTTCGGGTACTTCCTCGTTTTCCTGATGCTGGATATTGGCTTGTTCTGTCTGGTGCTCTTTGAACAGGGAGCTGGAAAGCGCCATGTGTGCATGCACGTATTTCCAGTGCGCCCGTACGGCGCCCAGACACCGGCGTGTGGCACAGCTACAATCTAGGGCCCGTATGGGCTCAGCCTTCGCCCTCGGAGACTAGCAGAGAGGGCGATATTTGAGGCCCCTTCGCACTTTCCCATTTCCTTGATGGGAGTCACTTAATAGATCTCTGACGGGGTGAACCAGGCAGTTGGTTCCCAGGAGATAAGAGTGGAGAAGTCATTTTTTCTTCCTTCAGAAGCTAAGTAGAGTGGGAGACCTGTGCGCCCTCCTGAGCGGGGTCACCCTGGAGCCCTGTTCCCAGAGCCCGGTGGGCCTAACAGCCTTAGCTCTCGGCTTGGAAATGCCCCTTCTGCTGGACATCTTGCCAGTCAGTGCCGCCAGTTCTCTGTCAGCCTTGGGAACGGCCCTCCGTTTGCCCACAGCACAGCCAGGCCCGGCTTATCACATAAGCAAGACTTCACTGAAGAGTCAGGATAGCAGAAGGGACAGCAGCCCAGAGAGTGCCAGTCATGGCTTCTTGTACAAGACCTGGTTCACTGCTCTTCCCCTCAGACAGCCTCTGCCCCAGTGGGACTGTCTCAGGCTCCTCACGGGGAGGTCTGTAAGGACCAGCTCTGCAGCCCTGCCACCATTCAGGGTACCTACGTAGGACACCCTCACAGGACAGTGGCGGGGGGGGTTCTGTTCCCTCAGGAAGCAACATTTACACAACTCACACAGATGGCAAACTTAGCAGACCTGACAGGCCTCGAGCCCACACAGTGACCTGGATGAGGCTTCTCCCAGGGCAGCTCGGCAGTTCTCGGCCCACATAGGGATGGCTAGCATGGCATCGGTACCCGGCTAGAGTGGTCCTGGGTGCTGTGCTGAGTGGGCTAGGTGCAGCCCCCTTTCCTGGGCTGGTCCCTGGCAGGAGTGAGGAAGGCAAGTGGCCCAGGTGACATGGCTGGGACGCAGAGTTCTACTTAGCCTAAGCATAGCTTGGATGGCATTGCCTTTGCTACCAGGCTTTTCCGGAGGGAGCTGAGGTTTCCTCCAGCCCTGCTGGGTGTGGTCCTTTTGTGTCTCAGCGGCAGGTGGCTGTGGAGGAGGTATGGAATAAGACATTTGAGTTTGGTAGGAGGAAATTTGATACAGATAACATTTATCACTTGTTCTTTTGTCTTTTGTAACAAAAAGGTCCCACTGTCACATGGGGTGGACAGGGAAGATGACGAAAATATTTCTGACCAGGATGGGTTTCCATGCTCGCCTCTTACAACACAACGTACACAAGAAAAAGGTAAAAATATATATATATATACATATATATATATAAAAGCATTTTGTGGCAATAAATATTGGTTAATTTTTTGAACATATAGCCATTGTAGCTCCACACCATGGTCCTGTGATTGTAAGTGGGAATATTCTGAGTTCTGTTTTCACTGGAGAGAAGTTAGTCCCTGGCTGCTTGCCTGGATGTTAGGTTGTCTCTAACGTATCAGGCGCTCACTTTAGAGTCCATTTTGTCCGTTCTGTCAGCCGTGAGAGGGCACGTGGCAGGGAGGATCATGGCTCAGGCTCTACGCTCTACACACTCCTTCCCCATGGCTCCAGAACAGTTGTCCGCTTCCTAAGAGGCTGCTTCCATGTACAGGTGAGGACACCCGGCACCCAGTGGGCACTGACAGCTGCTTTGTCAGGACGCTCAGAGCTGCTCAGGCTCACGGGGACCAGTTGGAAAACAGAATGCCGGCCCTGTAATACCTGGACCAGAAAGCACCAGCTGGTTAGGTGGCATGTTTTATCCCTGTGGGAAAATCTATATGAATATTAAATTCGTGTAAAAAAAGTCTCTTTTTAAATTACAGAAGTAATACTTTCTCATTGTAAAAAAACCCCAAAAACCCTGAAATGCTGAAATACATAAATGCACGTAATTGTACTGTCGTAGATAATTGTAACAACTTAGGATGTATGCAGGTGTAACAAACACATCATTTTGTTACCTGCCTCTTCTCTTACACACACCCTGAATATCTCCCTGTGTTTACACATGTCCATCCGTTTTCTAACGTCTGTGCTGCCCATGGCCTGGTGTGTTATTGTGAGTCAGAATCCAATCAGGAGACAGAAAGCACATGGTGATCTGAACAGGGAAAGTTTAATACAAAGAAGCATCAACTTTCACGGTTGCCTGCGAAGGGCTAGAGAGAAGTCTAGAGGAGACAGCTGTAGCAGAGAGAGGGAAGAGCCGCTCCCCTACACTTAACGCATACATAGGGCACCCAAGGGAAGAAACACATTTGGAGGGTCACCCAAGGCCCAGATGCAATGCTGGGGATGGCGTCGCAGTGGCCCACGGGCTAGTGGAGAAGTTAGCTGTGTCGTGCTAACAGAACTCACCGGAAAGCCGCCCTATCCAGGGGAGTGCCGGAAGAAGCCACCCGTGGGAAGTGCTGGCTGGCCATTTAGAGAAAGGGAAGTGGGTGCCGGGGCGTGGTGGGGTCGGGCGGAGAGCAGAAAGGACAGAGAGAGGGATGGAGACAGCCCTGGGATGAGGCACCCAGGCCTCTTCCTCCTCTGTGTATCTCCAGCGCCCTCTGCTGGTGAAGCTCATCGTTGCGCCCCTGGCAAGGGGCAGGTGGTGCAGGTACACAGGTGGAGGGGGAGTGCAGCTGAGAGGCACACTGCTAACAGGAGCCTGGAGCACATGGTTGGGGAGGAGTCCGGCTCCTGCAGTGGCTTTTGCTTTGTGGTGGGCATTAAAAGCCTCTGGACACTTGTGGAAAAGGCCCCACGCCAGCTCCCAATTCTAATGCAGTGGCTCTAGGCTGGGGCCCAAGGTCTGTGTTCTTAACAAGCAGTTTGGAAAGTGTGATGTGGGTGATCCTTGGACAACACATCAGAATCTCTGGCTTTTAGTGGTTTGGTTCTCAACTCTGTCATTTCCAGGTAACGAGAGGCTTTCCTAAGTTATTTAACCCCGCCTGTGCTCAGTCTGAGCGCACCTCTCATCAGATTCTTACAGGGATTAAATACCGTCACAGTGGGAAGCACAGCACCCTCCATAAATGCTGGCTGATAATCCTGTCTAAAGGCCAAAGCTGTGAAGCTCTGTGAGCCCTGTGCGCCCTCCTGCGCCCTAGCAATAATTGGCCAAGGAGACCAGAGGCTGAAGTCGTTTGGTCGAGATACCAGTCCCTTGGTCGGAGCTGCCAGATTCATGGACACTGTCCCCTGCCTTCCTCTGATCCCAGTCATGCCCTCCCACCCCACTGTGCTTTCTTTCTCCTCCATCGCCCAATTTATCAAAAGACAGCTCTCTACACACCTTCTCCCTTCCCTCATTTGACGGCGCCCCCTGAACCCACTGCACTTTGGCTCGCTCTGTCTCCATGACTCCCCCAAGCCGCTGACCTTCATCCTGACAGGCACAGTGGATGATGTTCTGGCTTCATCTTCTGTGGCTTCTCAGGAGCCTCCACACAGAGGATTGCTCCCGCTGTCTTAAAATCCATCTCCCTCTTGGCTTCATGACATCTCGTGCTCCTTGTCTCCTCGTGCCTCTCTGGGTAACCCTTCTTCATCTCCTTTGCAGGCTCATCTTCCTCTCCCTGCCCAGTAAATGTTGGGGTCCCCAAGGCCGGTCTAGGCCCTTTGCTCTTCTAAGTAGTCATGCCCTGCCCGCCTGCTTCCAGGACCCTTTGTTGTGTGTTACACCCAGCAGATATATGGGTACATATGGACTGCCCACTGTCTCTTCCTGTGGTAGCAGCCAGAGAATCTTGTCAAAACACGAAGTAGTATCTAGTAGTATCCCTGTCTGCCCCCCATGGGCCCCCACACCCTTTTTACTTAGATCTCTTCACTGGTTTCCTATAGCCTACCAGACCTGCTGGCCATTCTCCAGCCACACCGGGGTTCTCTTACTTCTTCAACTGCATGATGTTCCCTTCTGCCGCTGGACCTATGCACATGTTATTCTCCCTCCCTATCCTCTAATGTCTATTATACATAAAGGAGGTGGAAGGAGGGGTTGTGTGTTTGACTTTTTAATGTTTTATATGTTCAAATATATCTGAAAGGAAACATACCCAGTTGATAACCATGGTTACCTCTTGGGAGGGGAAAGGTTCAGAGGATTAGGATCATGGGGGAGTTTTGATTTATCTGTATTACTAGCATTTTTGACAGCAAGACTATGCTCACATGGTGTGGCTTCTCTATGAGGATGGGGGTGGTGCCTAACGAGGCATCCTGTACACAGTAGGATGCCCAGGATGGGAGACTTTGCTGTTATTTGAATAGCTTATACCACTTGTCTGGCAGACTGTAGAAATGAGAAGGGCAAGGAGTCTGGAAATGTTTTTGAGAAATGATCAATGAGAAAACAGGAAATAAAATATATACCCAGAGCCCAACGTACTGTACATACATTAAGTACCAAAGTGAACTTGGGTGATGCCGATTCTGGCTCTTTTTTCTGAAAAGTTGATGACTAAGATACAATAGAGATGATGATTTTCTTTAGAAAACTAGGTGAATTGCCTTTTTTTTTTTTTTGATATTTTATTTATTTGACAGAGAGAGACACAGCGAGAGAGGGAACACAAGCAGAGGGAGTGGGAGAGGGAGAAGCAGGCTCCCCGCTGAGCACGGAGCCCGATGCGGGGCTCGATCCCAGGACCCTGGGACCATGACCTGAGCCGAAGGCAGACGCTTAATGACTGAGCCACCCAGGTGCCCCTGAATTGCCCTTTTTAAAATGTTTTATCATGAGACCTTACAAACGTACAAAAGTAAAGAAAGTGGTCAGCGGAAATCCCGTGTGGCTACCACCCACCCTCTATTGCCAGCAGCATTTTGCCATTCTTACTCGTGAATCCCCTGCCCTTCTCCAGTTTTGTCTGGTGAAGAATTTAAGGGGAGAGACATCCAAGAGTTCATTAAATATGAAGGCAGTAGGTCTGATGCAGAATTGTAAGATACCAAAGCAAAGACTATTGCAAAAATAAATAAACAATAAAAAAAAGAACAATAAATAAAAATGCAAAATCTTGGGGTGCCTGGGTGGCTCAGTCATTAAGCGGCTGCCTTCGGCTCAGGTCATGGTCCCAGGGTCCTGGGATTGAGCCCCGCATCGGGCTCCCTGCTCAGCGGGAAGCCTGCTTATTCAAATGACACTCCCCCATCACATGCTCTCTCTATCTCATTCTCTCTTTCAAATAAATAATAAATAAAATCTTTAAAAACATAAAATAAAAATGCAAAATCTTTTTGTATCAGTTTAAACATTTGCTCATCAGATGCTCACCTACTGTGTGCCAGAGATGACGGAGCCATGGGCCCCTCCCCTCCCATCCCATTTGCAGGGCAGGACGTGCAGCTGGGGAGCTGTAGTCCGGGGCGGAGGCGCATGGCAGAAGTAGCACAAAGGCCAGGAGAGCAGTCAACATTGCTGGCTGGAAAAGGTGGCAGGTAGAGGAGGCTTTGTTAGGCCGTATTTGGGAGGACAAGGCAGGATTTCAATGGGTGTGCCAGTCTAAACTGCCCCAGGACATTTGATCAGATGTTTAGTTGCAGATAGTGGGGCAAGATGACATTTCGGTCAAAAATGATTTCTTCAGTGGTTATCATTCAAGTGTTGGTACAAATTGTAATGAACCAGGAAGTAGATTTACAATCTTTTATGATTTTTGTCCATGTTTCTGAATTCTGTTGGATTTTGCATATTTGTTTCTAATTTATTTTCATCCAGTTATTTTTGCTCTGTAAATTGACTGTAGAAACTAACAACAACCAACTTTTCACAATGACAAAGGGCACAAGGCACACTAGGGCATAAGATTACCCTCCTCAGGGAGTGCCTTCATCCCGAATGTGTATTTGTAAATGGAGAATAACTGAGCGAGATTTGTTTGCTTTTGTATCGCCAAGGTGGTTTGCTTCAAGGAACAACTATTTGTCTGACCAGGTCAGATGCTACTTCTAGGCAGAGAGGAGTGGAGCCTTGGCATATCTGGGGAACAGCGGGTGGTACATTTGGGGCACATTTGGGTAATAGGGGATAGGGCCGTGTTGGAAAGGCAGGGAGGGCTCAGAGTCACTCCCAAGGACTTGGCCCTGGTTCTGTAATCATGGGAGCTACTGGAGGTGCTCCCAATTTAACAGAAGAGAGATGAGCAGTTCAGTCAGGCCCCCTGCCTTATCCGGACCAGCTTGCTGTGTAACCTTGCGAAGGCTGTCCCCACCTCGGGCCTTGTTCAGCTCATCGGTAGCAGGCAAGTTCCTATGATCATGCTCTTCTGAGTTGTCAGATGTCTTTATCTGCTTTAAAAAAAGTTTTCTTCTCTCTTTTTTTTTAATCAGATGATAAACATTCTGTTCTGAATTTAAAGGTAAGATTCATTTTTTTAAAAACCAGTTTTCTCAATAAATAGAATTTCCGCCATGATTTAAAAAAATTTTTTGTGATTTATTGAGGGAGGGGGGACACCTTGCCTTAAGAGTCCTTTCCCATTAAATGTTGTTTTTTTTTTTTTTTTAATACTTTTGAGGGGCACCTGAGTGGCTCAGTTGATTAAGTATCTGACTCTTGATTTTGGCTCAGGTCATGATCTCAGGGTTGTGAGATTGAGCCCTGCATTGGGCTCTGCACTAAGCACAGAGTCTGCTTAAAATTCTCTCCCTCTCTCTCTGCTCCTACCCCCCCAAACACGTGTGTGTGCACATGCGCCTGCATGTGCATGCACTCTCTCTCTCTCTAAAAAAAAAATAATAAAATAAAATACTTCTGAAATATGAAGAAACTCAGATTTTCCATAGTTTAAAAATGAATGTAATACATTGAGTGGTTAAAAGTCACATATGTAATTTGCAGAATGAATAGACTAACAAATTTGCAAATGTGGAAATAGTTTTTTCCCTTTTTTTGCAAACATGGAAATAGTTTTAACTTAGGTTTTAATCCTTCAATGTCATAGGAATTTAAAAATTAAAGATTTCTCAGTAGAGTTCATTTATAACCTTATTTACTTTTTCAGCAGAAATTAGAAACTTAATATCAGACCGATGTGTAATGGAAAAATGAACGATGTGCAATGGAAAAATGAACAAAAGTTCATAGCTTTCCCTTTCCTCTAACTTTTGGGTTGAAAAGAAAGATCATACTCTTTTCTCAACCCGACTTAGAAATGTGCTTCTCGGGGCGCCTGGGTGGCTCAGTTGGTTAAGCGACTGCCTTCGGCTCAGGTCATGATCCTGGAGTCCCGGGATCGAGTCCCGCATCGAGCTCCCTGCTCAACAGGGAGTCTGCTTCTCCCTCTGACCCTCCTCCCTCTCATGCTCTCTGTCTTTCATTCTCTCTCTCGCAAATAAATAAATAAAATCTTTAAAAAAAAAAAAAAAGAAAGAAAAAAAAAGAAATGTGCTTCTCTACGGCATATGGGGTCTTTTTGTCTATCCCAGTTAGAATTTGCTTTGTGCATCTCTGCTCAGCACCTGCAGTCCTGTCTCATGCTTCTGAAGGTGAACTGATGGCCTGTCCCTCTTGAGACCTACATGTGAAAACACAGTGGCTGAACTCACAGGCAAAAAGTCAGGAAGAAAGCCTGAACAGGACTTCCTTTAGTGCCTCAGAGAAGCCACCACAAGGGCAAGACCCTTGAAGTTTAAGTTTCAGTTAAAAGAAACAATGGATATTAGAGTTTCTAAAGCTAAAGCAGACTAAGAAGTACAAGAGCCAAAGTGAAGAGAAAAAAATGTATTTAAATATTTGATATACGATGACCCAGCTGCTCATGCCAATCCCGTTTTAGAAGATGCTAAGACTCTTAATTCATTACTCCTGTTTTTTCTTCCCTAGGATGAAAAACCACCATTATGTGAAAAGCCTCCACCCTCCCCAGGTATTTGCCTTTTGAATTTAATTATGATGAAAAGCTTATAATTTCGGAGAATGCCCAGAATCATCTTGTCTAAAATAAAGGTCACTTTTTTTCCCCTGTAAAGGCTGTTGCTTCTGTCCCGTTACTGAAATTGGGAAAGGGGCACCTGCTGAACTTCCATGTTTGCTCTAAAAGAGAGGGTGTAAACATTCAGACAGTGAATGGTGGATGGATGTCCCCATGGGATGTGCTCAGACACTGGGAGGCCAGTGTCTGCAAATGGGGGCCACTTTGTGTCCCCATCACGTGCCAGGGCCAAGCCCGGGCCGGGAAGCACTCTGGCACTTTTCTAGCTGACCTCTCCTGGCATATTTTAGGCCATAGCTCCCATCTTCAATCCAGTCTCAAACGTTTTCTTTCTGGGATGCCTCCGAGTTCCCCTCTTGTTTTCAGTGGAGCTGTGGAGTTACTCATTTCTTAGACTACCCTTTCATGTCCTAGGGATTGGATAGGATGTATCAAGGGTCGGGGAGGCTTATCTGGAGCCGCCGGTCCTACCGCTAGCCCTTGCTTGCCCCGCTGCGTTGTGGGCCAATCCACTCTCTGGAGCCACCAGTCCTCCCACCCTGGTCTGCTCCCAAGAAGCTCTGCTTCTGCCTCCACCTTCAGTCGGAGGCATGCCCTGGCTGGGGAGCCCATTGTGGTCCTTACCTCCTTTGACTTCTGTCAGCATATCTCTCCATGGAACATCGTTCTCTGTTCTCCTCCAATCTCTCTTGCTAAAACTCCTTCTTAAAATCCTTTGTGACCTCTGGCGTCTCCTCTCCCTGATGTCCACAGCTGCTCGGTGTCTCCAGCTGAGGCCACCTTCAGAGCATGGCCCGTGTCCTAAACTGAGCTCGCCTTCCCTGCTGCATTTGTGTTCCTTGTCGGGCTAAGTGTCTTCCAGACCACAGGTGGCTGTAGGCCTCCTTGATTTGCCCCTCCCTCACTGCCCACACCCAGTCAGCTGCTGAGCCCTGTCGGGGTTGAGCCCCTGAGTCCTTCATCTGTCCCTTCCTCTCTGCCCCCGCTCTGGGGGCCTCCAGACTGGCTTCCCCTCTGGGCTGGGCTTCACTCCCGGTCACTTTCTTCACTGCTAGCCACAGGGGCTCATCTGAGAGTAGAGACTTCTTTTTCACACCTCTGCTTAAAAGCCTTTCCTGGCTCCTGGCGGCCTGCAGGACAGAACCTCTGCTTTCCGTATTATGATATGCAAGGGCCTCGCTGGGCTCCTGCCTCTCCCTCTCCCACCTCTTTCCCTGTGGCTTACTGTGGCCTCGGCAGATCAGCTGCTCTCTCCTGAACTGGCCATTCTCCTTGCAGGGACTGAAGGACCTAGCACGAGGCCTGACATGAAGAAGTGACTCGGGTGGTTGTTTCTTTGTTTTTTGTGTTTTTTTTGTAAAGTCTTTTATAATTTTGATGTAAAATTGTAAAAATTAAAATTTAAAAACTTTTTCTCTGTACCTTTCCAGATATAACTGGTAGAACACAGCAAAGATGTATAGAAATAACCAAAGAAAAGTTCAAGGAATTAAAAGAAGAAAATGTGTTTCTAAGCAATGCAAATCAAACCCTTACTCTTGAACTTAACCTAATAAAACAAGCAATGAAAGAACTACAATTAAAACTGAAAAGAACGGAAAAAGAAAACCAAAAGTTGAAAGAGGCTGAGAAAGCCTCCCCTCAGGAAGGTGGGGATAACTACACAGTTCTTTTATTAAAGGAATAAACAAGAATTCACTAATTTTCTTATTTATTTGAAAGCTAGTATTTTATGTTGTGATACTTGCTTATGTTGTTGTTGATATTGCATTATAATATTTAAGGTTCTTCCATTAATATCCTTGTTAAAATTTGATTTTATCTGCTATATCATTATTATGCCAAAGAAATTCCAATACTTGTTTTGGTTCTTTATGCTTAGCATAGTATCTTACATACATTTCATATCAGTTTTTTATTCCCATGAACAGCATATAAAAGTGCCTCTTCATGAGATCAAGCCCCGCGTTGGGCTCTGCACTCTGCGTGGAGTCTGTTTGAGATTCTCTCTCTCCCTCTGCCCTATCCCCCCATCCCCACTCCCACACACGCACACACTCTCTCACTCTCTCTCTCTCTAAAATAAATAAATCTTTTAGAAAGTGCTGCTTTCTCCACATACTTAGCAGTGATAAGGATTACATTTTCCTTACTAATTTGACAAGCAAAAAGGTCAGGGAGGAAATCCTATTTTAATTTTATTTGTATTTATTTTACTATTGATGAGCTTGAGTATTTTTTTTTTTTTTATATCTTTGCAGGTCATTTTCTCTTTCATAAATTTTCCCATTTTAATTTGAGATACTGGGATGCCTGGGTGGCTCAGTTGCTTAAGCATCTGCCTTTGGCTCAGGTCATGATCCCAGGGTCCTGGGATTGAGTCCCGCATCAGGTTCCTTGCTCAGCGCAGAGCCTGCTTCTCCCTCTGCCTGCCGCCCTCCCTGCTTGTGCTCTCTCTCTCTCCCTTTCTCTCTCTCGTCTCTCTGACAAATAAATAAATTAAATCTTTATTTATTTTTTAAGATTTAGTTTATTTATTTGACAGAGCAAGAGAGCACAAGCAGGGGGAGCAGTAGAAGGAGAGGGAGAAGCAGGCTCCCTGCTGAGCAGGGAGCCCAATGTGGGCCTCAATCCCATGACCCCTGGGATTATGACCTGAGCCAAAGGCACTTAGCCTCGTGAATAAAATCTTAAAAAAAAAAAAAGAAAAGAAAAAACGAATCCTTTTTTAAAATAAATAAATAAATAAATTGATATACCTTGATTTTTTTTTTTCTTACTGATTTATAGGAGCTCTTTACATGTTAGGGATTTTGGCCCTTTTTCATGTATGTAATGGTTTCTCCATTTGTTGATAACTCAGTTAAATATAGGATATTTTTCTGTTATGACTTATGCCCTTTCAAGTCCTTTTTAACTCTAAGGTTATATAAATAATCACTAATGTTTTGTGTATACATCGATCTATTTATAATATTATGGCCTTAAGAAAAGCATTGTAGTCTTCTTCAGACTCTGTATTTCTTGTGTTAGGCACATTTATTTCTGCAACTTTATATTATTTGTGCTATTACTTTTTGGAATCTATTTTCTGTTATGTTTTCTAATAGGACATTATTATTCTATGGAAAAGTTCTTAGATCTAATAAATTTTCTTTTATGGCTTTCAAGGCACATACTGTATATCATCTGAGACAATGATTTTTCTTTCCAATCTAAAGTTTGCATTTTATTTTATTTTATTTTTATTATTTTTTTAGATTTTATTTGTTTATTTGACAGAAAGAGACACAGCAGGAAAGGGAACACAAGCAGGGGATGTGGGAGAGGGAGAAGCAGGCTTCCCACGGAGCAGGGAGCCCAATGCAGGGCTTGATCCCAAGACCCTGGGATCATGACCTGAGCCAAAGGCAGATGCTTAATGACTGAGCCACCCAGGCACCCCTCATTTTATTTTAATTGTACATGCACAAACTTCCAAAACACTGTTGACTATTCAGTGTTAAAGAATACTTAGTAACTTTTATTCATTAATATCTATACAATCTGTCCTCCACTGGTTCTATGAGCCCAAAAGGGAAAAAAGATCAGATGATTGGCAATTTATATAAAATCTTGATCATGGGGCGCCTGGGTGGCTCAGTTGGTTAAGCGACTGCCTTCGGCTCAGGTCACGATCCTGGAGTCCCTGGATCGAGTCCCGCATCGGGCTCCCTGCTCGGCAGGGAGCCTGCTTCTCCCTCTGACCCTCCCCCCTCTCGTGTGCTCTCTGTCTCTCTCATTCTCTCTGTCTCAGATAAATAAATAAAATCTTTAAAAAAAAAAATAAATAAAATCTTGATCATTTTGGTGTAAGTTCTTCTAATACTAATTTTTTTTTTTTTCAGTAGTTGCTGCCTCTGAGCTACTTTATCTAAGAAAACAAGCTCAAGAACTGGTGGATGAAAATGACGGGTTAAAAATGACTGTCCATCGTTTAAATGTAGAATTGAGTAGATATCAGACAAAATTCAGGCATTTGTCCAAGGAAGAGGTAATGTTTTCAATTTTAAAATGTCAGTTTTCTGATTTTTTAGGCTTTACTGTTGAATTGCTTTCTAATCTTGAAGGGTTCGTATTTATTATTATTTGGCATAAAAAAAAGCACATCCAAAACACAGTCTTTCTGGGGACCTTTCTGTGTCCTCCTTTCATCTCTTCCTTCCCTTCCCCCTTTCTCAAAAGCAATAAAGACTCTTTGTAAAACAAACAAACAAAACAAACAAAACCTGGGAACAATACAGAAGTATATAAAGTTAAGGAGTAAAAGTCCATGTCAGCGGCTCCATTCTTAGTCCTGTTCCTCAAGGGTATAGCTGTTGTTTGTTGGTGTACCTACTTTAGAAAGAAAGCAGACTAGTTTTCACAGGCCCCCCAAATCACCTAGCTCTCATAGCCAGTGGGACTTCAGTTCATGATTCCCACAGGACTAGCAAACAAAGAAGCAGTTTTGCAACAGGTGTGGGAGCACCCCTCTGTGGCCCCACACTGGGTTCAGCATAGGGGGAGCAAGCAGGAACACCCATGTCCTGCTTTTTCTCTGGAAGGGGTTTGACTGCATACTTTCCCAGCTGCTGCCTGAGGTCTGGTTTCCAAGCAGCCTGCATCTAGGAGCTGAAGACAGTCTTCCCTTTCGGGAAAGTAATGAGTTCTGGTACACCCTCAACTACTGGGAGCCACTAAGAACAAGGACAGTGGCTTAAACAGTCACAGATGTTTGAGAGGCAACCAGGAGCTCAGGCCGGGCTGATTGATGAGGCTCATTCATCTCTTAAGGAGACCAGTCTGTCAAAACTGGGAGAGGTGGGCTGTTTTTCCTAATGCACCAACACAGAAAGTCAAGGAAAATGCAGAAAAAGGGGAGTGTGTTCCAAACAAAAAGATCAGGAACTGATTTTAATGAAGTACAGATAAGTGATTTACTCGATAGAGAGTTCAAAATAACAGTCATAAAGATGCTTACCGAGGTCAAGAGAGCATGAACCAAGTGAGAATTTCAACAGAGATAGAAAAACTAAAAAGTACCAAGCAGAAATCATAGAGCTAAAGACTATACTACCTCAACCGAAAAATTCAACAGAGGGGTTCAACCACAAACTAGAGCAAGTGGAAGAAAGAATCCATGAATTGAAGACAGGGCAGTGGAATTCATCTGCTCAGAGAAGCAAAAAGAAACTGAAAAAGAGTGAAGGGCCACTATCAAGTGGATTACAGGGGTCCCAGAAGGAGGAGATTGAGAAAGGGGCAGAAAGCTTATTTAAGAAGTAAGGGCTACAGGGGCACCTGGGTGGCTCAGTCATTAAGCGTCTGCCTTCAGCTCAGGTCATGATCCTAGGGTCCTGGGATCGAGCCCCACATCGGGTTCCCCAGTCCACGGGAAGCCTGCTTCTCCCCCTCCCACTCTCCCTGCTTGTGTTCCCTCTCTCGCTGTGTCTCTCTCTGTCAAATAAACAAAATCTTAAAAAAAAAAAAAAAGTAAGGGCTACAAATTTCTTTTACCTGGCGAAAGAAACAGACATCCAGATCTAGGAAGTTCAGAGAGTTCCAAATAAGAAGAACCCAAAGACACCCACATCAAAACACATTATAATTTAATAACACATATAATTTAATAATTGTCAAAAGTTAAAGACAAGGAAACAATCTTAAAAGCAGCAAGAGAAAAACAACTTATTACACACAAAGGAACTCCCATAGGACTATCAGCAGATTTTTCAGCAGAAACTTTACAGGCCGGAAGGGAGTAGTGGTATATTCAAAGTGCTAAAAACAGAAACAAAAAAACTGCCAACCAAGAATAACTGACAAAGCTATCCTTCCAAAATGAAGGACAGGGAGTTTTCCAGACAAGCATAAGCTGAAGGAGTTCATCACCACTAAACCGGCCTTAAAGAGACTTCTCTAAGCTAAAATGAACAGGCAAGTTAATAATAAGAAAACATAAGAGAACTAATAAATTAATCCAACAAATTTGCATGATAAAAAAATCAATATACAAAAATCAGCTTTGTTTCTAGACACTAACAACAAACTATTGGAAAAAGGAATTAAGAAAAAAAATTTCATTTATAATAGCATCAAAGAGAATAAAATACTTTGGAATAAATCTACAAAGGAGGTAAAAGATCTGTACACCAAAAAAATAAATAAATAAAACACTGATGAAAGAAATTGAAGAAGACACAAATAAATGGAAAGATTTTCTGTGCTCATAGATTGGAAAGAATATTATTAAAATGTCCATACTACTCAAAGTAATCTACATATTCAATGCAGTCCTTTCAAAATCCCAATGGCATTTTTCACAGAAATAGATAAAACAATCCTAAAATTTGTATGGAATCACAAAAGACCCTGAATAGCCAAAGCAATCTTGAGAAAGAAGAACAAAGCTGGAGACCTCACACTTCCTGATTTTAAGCTATTACAAAGCCATAGTAAGCAAAAACAGCATGATACCGGCATAAAAACAAACAGACCAATGGAACAGAATTTAGGGTCTAGAAATAAACCCATGCATATATGCTTACTTTATTTTTGACAAAGGAGCCAAGAATATAGTATGAGGAAAAGACAGTCTCTTCAATAAATGATGGAAAAACTGGATGTCCACATGCAAAAGAATGAAACTGGACCCCTATCTTACACTGCACCCCAAAATCAACTGGAAATGAATTAAGGACTTGAGTGTAAGACCCGAAATCATAAAACTCCTTGACATCAGTCTTTTTTTTTTTTTTTTTTTGAGAGAGAGAGAGTGAGCACCAGTTTGGTGGGGGGGGTGCTGGTGGCAGAGGCAGGAGGAGCAGACTCCCTGCTGAGCAGGGAGCCCGACATGGGCCTCAATTCCAGGACACTGGGACCATGACCTGAACCAAGGGCAGACGCTTAACTGACAGAGCCACCCAGGCGCCCCTTGACATCAGTTTTGATGGTGATTTTTTGGATTTGACACCAAAAGTGATGGCACTGAAAGCAAAAATAAACCAATGGGGCTCATCAAACTTCTCAGCAAAGGTAACCATCATCAAAATGAAAAGGCAGCTTATGGAAGGGGAGAAAACATTTGCAAACCACATGTCCAGTAATGGATTAATATCCAAAAAATACAAGGAACTCATACAATTCAATAGCACAAAAATAAATAACTCAATTTAAAAATGGGCAACAGACCTAAATAGCCATTTTTCCAAAGAAGACCTACAGATGACCAACAGGTGCTCAACATCATTAATCAGCAAGGAAATGCAAATTAAAATCATAATTTGCTGTCACCTCATACCCGTTAGCATGTCTGTTATTAAAAAGAGAAGAGGTAGCAAGTGTTGGTGAGGGTGTGGAGAAAAGGAGCCCTCACACACTGTCGGGGGAATGCAAGCTGGTGCAGCCCCTGTGGAAGACAGTGTGGAGGTTCCTCAAGAAATTAGAAACAGAACTACCATCTATTGAGCAATTCCGTTTCTGGGTAGATGTCCAGAGGAAACAAGATCACTATCTTGAAGAGATGGCTGTACTTGTATGTTTGTTGAAATATTATTTACAGTAGCCAAGGTAGGGAAACAGCCCACATGTCTGCCAGCAGATGAATGGATAAAGAAAATGTGATGTATATACAAAAATGTGATTGATATATATGTAATGTGGTGTATATACATACAGTGGACTATTACTCCGCCTTAAAAGAGAAGGTAGTACTGTCATTTGCAACAACACAGATGAACATGGAGGGCAATAAGCCAGACAAAGACAGACAAATACTGAATAGTATCACTTATATGTGGAATCTTAAAAAAAAAAAAAAGTCAAACTTACAGAAACAGTACGGTGGTGGTTGCCATGGGCTGGGGGGTGGAGGAAATAGGGACAGGCTGGGGTACACACTTTCAGTTATGAGTAAGATCTGAGGATTAATGTAAAACGTGATGATTATAGTTGATCATGCTGTATCGTATAATTGAAATTTGCTAAGAGAGTAGAACTTAAATGTTCTCTCTCTCTCTTTTAAAGGTAAATATGTGAGGTGATGGGAGTGTACTTAGCTTGGTGGTGGGAATGCTTTCACAATGTAGGCATATATAAAGAGAGAAGAAAGCAGACTAGTTTTTACTTTAGAAGAGGTATTGCAGAATTCAGTTCAATAAACTCACCGAGCAAACCACTGTGAGGAATAACAAGAGGAGCCAGAAGGTCAGGTTCTTGCTCTTAGAGAGTAGTGCATGTGAGGAATGGGGGCAGGGGGGGGGCCCGGGCATCTGACATGTCAGGATACACAGCTGACTGGCTCCTGCTGGGATCAAGGTGGGAAGCCAGGGGCACATCTGTTCTCACGTGGCTCCTGGGAATTCAAGGCAGCTTCAAGAGCTTCTGATTTTAAAGTAGGACTTAAGTTTAAATTTTTAAATAACAGCATTGAGATGTAATTCACATATTCAATTCACCCATTTAAAGTGCACAGTTCAGTGATTTTTACTGTCTTCACAGAACCATGCAACCATCACTGCAGTCAGTTGTAAAGTTCATCACAACAAGAAATTTCCTACCTGTTAGCAGTCACTCCCCATTTTCCCCCACCCCCTGCATTGGCTCCTGCAACCACAAAGCTACTTTCTGTCTCTATGGATTTGCCTGTTCTGAACATTTCACATCAATAAGATCGTCCAACATGTGGTCTTTTGTGACTGACTTCTTTAATATAATGTTTTTTTAACCACAGCAAAAAAATTAAAGTTCTTCGGGTCACATGATCCAAAACAAGCTTCCTAGGCCAGGGCCTTCTGCAGGGCTGTGGGTGAGCCAGTTCTCTTTAAAAAGGATACAGACAGGCAGGCCCAGTGACAGGCCACTGCTTTCCCACACCGTTTTGCCCTGTGCAAATGCCACATTCTCCGTGATAGCCTTCCCTGATTACTCCAGTCAGATATGATCTCTCTCCCTCAAATCATCGCAGACTTTTGTTTGTACAGCTCTTAAGGCAGCTAGAACATTCTATCCTGTACTATGTTTTTGTGTGTAGTATATTATGTTCATTTGTGTGAGAAGACTTCTACCTGTTGTTAGATCATAAAATCATGGCAAACCATTGTGTTGTCATGTCCATAATGACTTAGAGAGTTCTCACTGTTTGCTGAATGAGTGATGAGATGAGGTTTTAAGGTGAATGTGTTACAAGGTTTTTCTTGAAGGAAGAATTATTCCATCAGAGCCATTGCTTCTGGGCCTGATGGAATATAACTGCTACCAGGCTGGCCCTCGTACTGTAAACGACTCAAAAACTAGACAGAACACATATTGATACTATTGACAGATGGCAGGCGGCACGGTGACCTTGGGCAGGAGAAAGATAAATAGGTGCCTTCTGTTGTTTGCCTCTGCCTTCAGTCTGTAGACAGTCTCTTCACAGGGCAGGGTGGAGCACCCGAAGCAGATTAGTATTCAACAAAAGAGAAGGGTGAAACTCCTTGAGGCCAGGCAGAAAACAAGTTCAGGGAGCCGTGAGCCAAACAGTCAGCACTGGGAGACCTGTGGCTTGACAGCAAGGGAGAGAACTTGTGGAACACTGCAGCCTGAGGAAAGAGCCCAGAAGGACCGTGCCTTGGTAGCTGGCTCGCCTAGCCTCTCAGTAAAGGTCACTACAGACCCACCCTCAGCAGGTAAAAAGTGAGCCTCAAAAGCATCAAGTTGATCCATGAGCAATGTACGAGTCTACAAAGAAGAAGGGAAAAAAACAAAAAAGCCCACACTCTTTAAAGGAAGACAACAAAATCCAGACCCTCTCACATATAACATTGCAAGAGTTCAGCATTCAATAAACAATAACTAGATATGTTCCAGATTTAAAAAGACTGCAAAGACTTGACAACTAAATACAACATATAATACTGGATTGGATCTTTGACCAGAAAAGGACGTTAGTGGGAAAATAGGCAAAATTTTAATATAGTCTAGATTAGATTATAGTATTGCTTCAGTGTTGATTTCCTGGTTTTTATGATGTTACTGTAGTGGAGTAAATGAATGTTTTTAGGAAATATACACTGAAGTATTTCGAGGAAGAAGGGCATTATGTCTGCAAGTTACTCTCAAGCATTTCAGAAAAAACTGTTTATATATATATATATATATATATGCATGCATGTCTAAGGCTTATTTGCAACAACATGGATGGAGCTAGAGGGTATAATAATGCTAAGCAAAATAAGTCAGAGAAAGACAATTACCATATGATTTCACTCATATGTGGAATTTAAGAAACAAAACAAACGAGCAAAGGGAAAAAAGAGAGAGAGAGACAACCCAAAAAACAGACTCTTAACTATAGAGAACAGACTGGTGGTTCCCAGAGGGGTGGGGGATGGGTGAAACAGGTGAAGGGGATTAAGCACTGAGTAATGTATAGAATTATTGAATCACTGTATTGTACCCCTGAAACTAATATAATACTGTGTTAACTACACTGGACCTAAAATTAAAAACTTCCTTAAAAAAAGGAATATCTAAGGCCTCAACTTTCAGAAGAAGCATTGTTTAATTTGCCTTCATTTGTGTTTTTTTCTTAGACTTTAAATATTGATGGCCTCCCATCAAAGGGCCCGACACCACCCTGGTTGGTAAGTAAAAGTTACTTAATTTCAGGCCCATATTTTCTGTGCTATAATTAAATACTTATTAAAAACCACTCCAAATGAAGTAAATTTTCTTAGCTTTTGAAAAATGTGCTGATTGTATTCAGATGTAAGACCTAAGTTAACCTTCTTTATTCCATTATGTTCAGTTGGATATAAAGTACCTGTCACCCTTGTTACTGGCCTATGAAGACCGAATGAAAGAGAAGGATGAGCTCAATGCCACCCTTCAGGTAAGCTGGCAGATGTCTCAGGACAAGGTTTATAAAAAATAAGACTGTTTAAAACTTTAAAGAAACATTTTAAAGATAGGTTTAAAGTAGATGTGCACAACATCTACTATGTTCTCAAATGTGGGAGGGAGGGAAGGAAGGAAGGGAGGGAAGGAAGAGAGGGAGGGAGGAGGGGAGGGAGGGAAGGAAGAGAGGGAGGGGGGAGGGAAGGAAGAGAGAGAGGGAGGAGGGGAGGGAGGGAAGAAGGAAGGGAGGAGGGGAGGGAGGGGAGGAAGGGAGGGAGGGAGGAAGGAAGGGAGGAGGGGAGGGAGGACGGGAGGGAGGGAGAAAAGGAGGGAGGAAGGAAGGAAGGAGAGGAAGGAAGGAAGGGAGGAGGGGAGGGAGGGAGGGAGGAAGGAAAGAAAGAGCACAGCGGTACAGGTGGGTGGGAGAGAAGAAAGGAGAGAAAGAGAGAAGGAAGGAGGCCGGAAGGGACGGGTCAGTGGAGCAGAAAGCGTGCATTGGGACAGATGGGAGAGGTGTGCAGGGATGGGATGGTGCTGCATCGGAAGCCCAGATTTCCCAGGCAGGCAGCCCCGTGTGGGCTGGGCTCTTGGGGTACAGACAGGACAGCAGTGGGGGACGCTCCTTTCCTGATGCTCTGCAGCTGCAAACTCTACTGTAGAAGGGACGATCAGGCAGATATGGGAAGGTAGTAAGCAGTGATGTTTTAGGCAGACTTAAATGCTTCATAGTTCTCTGAAGAGCTGACCCCAGGGAAGTCCAGTTCTGTTGGTAGTGGTGAGAGCGCCAGGTTTTTGTTGATTCTGCCTTGTTCACCTCTGTTTCATGGGAATGGCCTCTGGCAGCAGAGCTCACTCTCATTACACAGGTGGACAAGGCTACATGGGTGTGATAGATATGTCCCATCCTTTCCCTACTGCTCATGTAAGTGGCCAGAGATCTCTGGAATCAGAAGGATCCAGAGAGAACAGTTTGGGTTTCCTGGGCTGTCTGGCTGGCAGGGTCTGTTAAGTCCCACAGCCTGCCTTTGTTACACTATCCCACATACATGGTGCACATGATGCAGTTTTGAACCTTTTCTTCTAGATTTTCTGTTGGACACTTAACTTTGTAAGGGAGTGAATTACTCTTATACTAATTAATTAGCTATCAAGCCAAGTAATTAACAAATTAATTTGGTGCTTCTTCTAAAACAGGGTTCAGGAAACATTTTTTGTAAATGGTGTTTAGTAAATATTTTAGGCTTTGTGGACCACGGGGCCTCTGTTTGCAAAACCTCAGCTCCGCAGTGGTAGCAAGAAAGCAGCTATAGACAAAGTGGAAATGAATGTCCGTGGCTGTGTTCCAATAAAACTTTATTTACAAAACAAGCAGCTGGCCTGCGGGCTTTAGTTTGCCTGAGCCCTGTTCTGTAAAAGAGCTGTCAGCCACTGGGGAGTGTGTCTGAGCAGAAAGGTAAAAGAGAAGTTCCTTGGCATTGTTAAGCTAAACGGATATAAGCATAAACGTCTAAGAGCTGGGAGAAGAATATTTAGAAGCATCCGAGAGTAAACATTGGCAGCAAGGTTCTCACGGAAGACCAGAACATGTCACAGAAGCCCACTGAGGGCTGGCTAAGAAAAGCAGGGAGGAAGGAGGCCCAGCAGGAGTGCCATAAACACACTGTTGAGGAGGGAAAGCAGACCCCGAGGCCTTTCTCAGTCCTGCTGGTGCCGAAGGAGCTGTCCAGACTGGTGGCTTCACTAGGAGAAGCTTCTGGTGATCACAACGGGGCAAAATCAGGAGACTCCAAGCCCTACCCACACTGACCCCTTCCACTCCCAAGTGGGCTTTAATTAGGACGAAAAGTTCTTACATTTCTCTAAGAAGCTCCAATTTATCCTCCGAAGTCTTTAAACAAAGGAAAAATTGCGGTGTTCATAGGCATCTCTGCTTTTCTTTTTGACCTGCCTTTATCTTTTCTTTCCTATCTAAGTATTTGGCACTTACAGAAAAGTGTTACCAAATCAGGAATTGAGCATTTCATACCTGAGGCTCTCTGTCCCTTGTACTCAGCATCATGGTTGTCTCCTGGTTTCCCAGCAGCCCGGGAGCTCCTTGAGGGCAGGCACCTGGCGCCGGTACCTGCTGTTCCTGTGAGACTTCACTGGAAAGCTACTGACCTTTGACTTGAGGTGCAGCGGCAGCGCTAGAGCTAAGAGATGGCACCACGTGTGTATGTGTGTGTTACGATTCACCTCTGTTTTATTTCAGGAGGAAATGAGGATGTTTAGGATGCGAGTCCAGGAAGTGGTGAAAGAAAATGAAGAATTGCACCGAGAGTTAACCAAGAGTTGTCCTGTTACCAGTGAGGAATGGCAAGTGGTGTTGGGTTTCTGGTATTTTGCTAACTCAAAAGAAAACAGAATAATAGAAATAAACTTTATGAAATCATCAAATACATTTTCTTTAACCAAAATATTTTCAGGGAGAGTTTCTAAGAAATTAACAAGGTACAATGACAATGTAGTAAAGAAATTAACAAGGTACAGTGACAATGTAGTAAACTATTCTCAACTTGAATTTTAAAGAATACGTTTAAAATTCTAAGTAGGTTTTTAAACCTGAAATCCATCTACGTACGCTCCCCATTTTTATATTCCGAGGTTGTATTTCTCTAGGGCAGTTTTCTCATCCCAAACCTGTTGAGCCACATCCTTTTTGCTCCCCTGTGACTCTTCCCAGGGCTTTAGACCAGGAAGCTCAGGATGGGGTCCTGTACAGCTAGCCCCCGTCTGCCGTGCCCTTTCTGCGGCCTCCAGTGTCTGACGGTGAGTGCGGCCTCTCTCCTTCCAGCTGCTGGCGCTGCTGCCTTGCCCCAGAACGCCCCTTCCGCACTCTTCCCCATCCATCAGGCCCTGCTCACCTGGCACTGATCGGATGGTGCCGGTCTGTAGCTCTCCCTGAAGGCAGAGTTCTTTGCTGCCGTGTCTCAGCTTCTGACACAGCCCTAGACCCACGCCCTGTCCTGGTACCTGCGGTGCTGTGCCTACCCGGGTATCTCCACGTCTGTCTCACCTGTCCTCCTTGATGAGCTTCTCAAGGGCAGGGCCAGGTCCTGTTCATTGACACGGCAGCAACAGACGGCTAGTCAGTGAGTATGAGCAAGCAAATGTCTTAGTCAAAAGGCAAGGTCCAAGCACAAACTATTCAGATTGATCTTTTTCTCCTTGGGTAGCTATGTTATATTTAGTGACTTTTAACATGTCTTAACATCACTGAACAAAATTAAAATGTTTTCCGTGTGTGATGTCCAGGAATTTAGAATAGGAGTCAACAGCATTAGGTGGGTTCTCCCTGATGGGATGGGTACTGCTGTACAGTTGGGATTGGCCTGGGCAGTTACTGGATCTTAGTGCACTGTGGCTTCCCCTGTTGAACTTGGATTTTCTTCTGTCAGGGCTCCTAGCATGCTTCCCCTCGAACCCCGGAAAGCGGGTCGGTTAGACTGCTTCCAAGAGCCACCCAGAAAACGGAGATCTCAGATCCTTCCTCTAACCTTGTATATAAATGCCAGTCAAACCTGTTTACTTCTCTATAAAATCAAAATAAATAAATAAACAAAAGACCTCACTTTCAAATCTGCATGTGCACAGTGTTCCCCGATCCTCTTTATTTGGGTTTGCACTTGGCACCCTGCTGTAGTGTGGCCCGGGCTGTGGGTGGGGAGCCATTAGGTCTGTGTGGTGCCTCCAGCGCACCCCCACCCAGCCGGCCTCCCCCCTTACTCTGAACTCACTGCCCTCCAGTTGGGGTGTGGGGGTTCCTGGAGGCAGACCTCTGGCCACCCCTGAGGCCCCGGCACTTGTGCCCTCCCGCAGCCCCCTGTTCCTGCACAGGTGTGGGTGCCCAGACACTCGGGCACACCAGCTTCACACTTCAGTCGAAGCTGTCCCCTCAGTTTCACATAATTTCTCCTTGAACTTCTGGGCTGCAACTAAACTCTGCATTTCTTTTCCTGACTTCCTCTGACCAACTGGGATACCTCATGCTTAATGGGCCTCAGTTTCTCTACCCATAAAATGGAAGAGTATTAAACTAAATGTGAGGCTTTAACTTTTTTTTTTTTTTAAAGAAATAAGAGAATCCCTTTCATTTAAAAAAGAAAGAAAAGGTGGAAGGATTGGTGGGAGGGGAAGAAAGGAAGGAAGTAGGGAAAGAAGAAAAGAAGAGGGAAAGAAAGAAGAAGGAAGGGAGGGAGGAAGAAAGGAAGTCCTAAGAAAGTCCAAAGTGTAGGGACGCCTGGGTGGCTCAGTCGATTAAGCATCTGCCTTTGGCTCAGGTCATGATCCTGGGATCCAGCCAGTGCATCAGGCTCCCCGCTCAACAGGGAGTCCGCTTCTCTCCCTTTCCCTCTGCCCCTCCCCGCTGCTGGTATGTGCGC